CAAGAACTTAAAAGATGAAATGAGTGAGACAAACTTATGTCGAACCAAGAATAAATAAGAGTTAACAGGTTTGGGATCGTGGATAGAAAGTAAAGTTTCCTCCAATCATTGATGAAGATTCCGAAACTCCCAGATATAAGTACCCATGTACCCAAGATGTTACTCCAATGAAACTTATCCATTCACGAAATGATCCAGCCACTACTTCACAACAAGGAATTGATGCAGCGGTTAAATATGTCTGAAGAGAATATGTCCCAAACTTACAACTCAACAATATAATTTAAATGATTTTAATAATTTATTATCTTTTTAACAAACGAAAAATTAAATGTGTTCTTTTTTCCAAAATTTAGCTAGTTAATTTTGCATGGAAAATATTCTGAAAATTTATGAAAAGTGAGCATTCGTGTTTTTGCGAGTCTTGATTCCTAGACAGTATTTTGTAACGCTAGAGGTTTTTTGTCGTACTTCCGTTAATAAATCTCGGGAGAGATTTTCATGGTTTTATATCTTTAAAATAGATAATCGAAAATCAAAAATGAGCAGTGCTTACATACTTTAATCCTAAACTACATTATGCAAGTAGTGATAACAATTTTATTAATCATAGTATTACCAGCACTTATATTGCTTATTTTTATTATTAAAATAAGTTGCTGCCTATTACTAAAAGTAATTTAGTGTTCAGAAAGTACTATTCATTTTCTAAATTGTAGCCACAAGTATGGCTACATTTCAAAGGAAATATTGACTTTGAGTGCAAAGAATCTCAAATTACATCAACTGCGGCTCCAATAAGAACTCGTAACGCTAAGAAGACGAATAAATTAGATGAAAATGCTGTAACGCAACTGAACACTGTACTTAAATACATTGCGATCAAAAGTATTGGTCGTCGGCAGTAACGATCCGATAAATGAGATGCAGTCGGCACAGCAATCGAAGCACCTGAAACATGAAACTCTGACCGATATCGACTTGTGAAGTCAGAAAATAAAGTACTCGGCTGAAACATATAGTTACTATATAATCAGATGCAGACAATATAAAGTGAAAATTTTCAAGAACTGGCAGAAATATACCATTGTGAGTACTAAAAATTTAAATACAAAAAATAGTACCAACGGAGAAAATCCAAAATTTAGCTTCTTGTATAAATGGATTGCTACACAATAATTGATGCTGAAAATCCAATTTGAAGGTGTAGTTGCATTAACTTTAGCGTATGCATTAAATTTATGTATTTTTTCCACTTCGTTTGTAACCACCTTGGCAAAGAATTCAAGGAAATATTGAAATGAAGCCTGGAAATTCGAGAAGAATGCTTTGTGATTTGCTAGTTGAATTGCTAACAATGGATGTTCCAATGACATATACGGCACATTTCAATTCTTTTCCTGCTTCCAAATCTTTAAGTCTACGTGGATCAGCCATGTTGATCAATTCCATTTGAAGCTAAAAATCATGATTGTTTTTGTCGTTAACTTATCTAACTTTTATTATTATTATGCTAGCTCTGCAAACTGTAATTCAATTTGTCAGATTTTATAAGTACCTGTTTGGTTCATGTATTGCTCACACAAGGATGCTATGAGTTTTTGAACTGAATTCTTTTGTAAGTGACATACGTAAAATGATATAAAAACAGCAACCCTGTCACAGAGCAATCTGATAAATTTATCAAAAAAATGAAAATATCGGTAACAGAGGGCA